GGGGGGGGGGGGGGGAGGGGGGGGGGGGGGGGGGGGGGGGGGGGGGGGGGGGGGGGGGGAGGGGGGGGGGGGAGGGAAATGGGAGGCTGGGAGGAGGCGGAAACTTTTTTTCTTTTCCTTTTCTCAATAAAAAAAAATTTACTATGGTAAAAGAAAAAAAAAGAAGAAGAAGAGTACATAAATGTCTGGGGGAGCTCCATGACTGAGTACACGCCTAGCATTTGTAAGAATTTAGATCTGAGTGTATGTGACACATGAATTTTGTGCTTAGACTTGGATCTCATCCTTAAGGTATATTATATATTTTCAAATATTCTAAAAATCAACAATAATCTGTGACCTAAACTAGTTCTCTTTCCAAGAGGAGAAGATCAGGGCTCTCCATTCAGGTTGTGTGAAGTCAGCACACAACCACACAGACTGCTGTCTGAGCTATGAACCATATCCAATTATGTTCTTCTTGGCCTGGGGAGCACATGGTCAGAGACCTGAGCTGACTCCTCAGAAGTTCAGAAAAACAAAACAAAGCGGTTCTTCTTATGACATCCCTGAGAACATGAGCAAATCTACGTTCCCAAATGCAACTCACCAACACAACTCACTGCTAAGTCTGAGTATGGTTGGGTCAGTCCGTTGTTCTCTATAAAGACAGTCACACTCGCTGTTTATAGACATCTTTTTTTAATATTTTACTTTAAAACAAATATCTCAGTAAAAGAGAGCAAAGGAAATTACATTTTAACGATAGCTTGAAATGGGTATGGTATTTCTGATTTAGCTGTTTTCAGGAAACAGACAATTATATTGTTTTCCTACATGACTTTTAGAACTGCTCACTTAAATGCACATAATTATATTAAATTAAATTTCCTAACAAAAACACAACCATGTCATTTAAGGCAAAAAAAAAATCAGGTTCTGGGAAATTAGCATTTATGATATTTCCTTGATCTGATTGAATGATCAGTTTGCCTGGGTTTCATCATTCTTTATGGTTTTGCTCTGGAAATGGTATGATATTTAGTTAGTCTGTGCCTTGATTCCTCTATTAGACTTGTTTGACTTTCAGATTAAGACCCTTCCAGACAAAACCGAGTCAACGGGAGGTCAGAAAGGCACCTAAGAACCAGAAATTATTATAGAATCAGAAAACCCAGCAAAGCATCTTAATTTAAATGAACTTGCCATCTCCAGATATTAACTTGCTTGAACAAAATGCAAACATTTAGAGTAGACATGGCAACCTTTTTTTTAGTTAACCTCCTACAAGGGATGACTGCTGTATGTATTAGCGTAACCAACCCTATGCACTGCAGAAGGCAGACAGGCTTGATCTGAGAGAGCACATGGCTACTCAGTGTGCTCATTTGAACTGCGCTCCCCGCCGGGCGTTGGTGGCGCAGCTCCCAGATATCCTTGGATGGAGCAATGGATCCCTGCTAAGTGTAACTGGGAGAGCCCCCTCCCCCAATCCCCTCCCCCCCAGAGAATGGCATAATAGACATTACCCTGATGTTTACATGCCAAGAAACCTGTTTTGCAATGTCCAAGAGTTTCTGTGCTAGAATGAAACAGACACCAAATGGTCATGGCTTCAACGTACAAACATTTTTCACCATGCAGTTTTTCACATTTTGCTTAAGACTGCAGTGATGTGTTTTGGCTTTGTCTCTGACTCGTCAGTCTTCAGCTACGTTCGATGAACTGTACTGTGTTTGAGACCCGAGGAAGCCTAAGAAGGGGTCCTCAATACATTCATAATTCTTGCTGCCAGTGGGGTTCAACCTGAGACAGTGTCAGTGCTGTCTGGAAGCTGTCTGCTCCTTTCTCTTCCTCAGCCATTATTTGGAGTGACCCTTGTTGAGTGCCACCAGGAGGCTCTGGCTTTTGCTCAGTGGAGGGATGTGTTTTGTATATACATGCATGTGTAAGTGTCCTTCGGAGGGTACATCATTGCTTCGGGTTGGTTGAAGACATGGGTAAATGAAAAATCATATTAATAACTGCCTAGCATTCTGTTTGGAAAATGAGAATAGCTTTAGAGGCTCGATGAACATTTTTCAATAGAGTGAGACATTCACACTTTATCTCATTTGTGTTTTCCTGGGCCACAAGATCCGGATGCTATACTCCAGGAGACTGTATTGGAATCCAAGAAAGCTTTTGTTTGTTTTCTTAAGATAGGATCTCTCTACGTAGCCCTTGCTGGCCTGGAACACACTTTGTAGATAGGCTGGCTGGAACGCACAAAGATCTACCTGCCTTGCCTTTAATCCCAGCAGTTGGGTGGCAGAGGCAGGATGGATCTCTGTGAGTTCAAGGCCAACCTGGTCTAAAAGAGCTAGTTCCAGGACAGGCTCCAAAGCTACGGAGAAATCCTGTCTCAAAAAACCAAAACAAACAAAAAGATCTACCTGCCTCTGCCTCCCCAGCCCTGGGATTAAAGGTGTGTACAGCCATACCAGGCATAAGGAAGGTTTCTTTCTTCTTTCTTTCTTTCTTTCTTTCTTTCTTTCTTTCTTTCTTTCTTTCTTTCTTTCTTTCTTTCTTTCTTTCTTTCTTAACTTTTCACTGTCAAAAAATGAGGTTGAGAAGCACACTCGAGGAAGAGGAAGTTGGTTTGCTTGAGGGTGAAGGCTGGTTAAGGCCTGGTGAAGTCTGATATCAAACTGGGGTGAAGGATCACCAAACAGTTAAGGGGCAGAAAAATAAGGATGACCGCTAACTAGAACATTCTGCTGGGGGAGAGGTTTGGGAAGGGCTGCTGGACTTGAAGGTCTCCTTTCTTTGAGCAACCACTTGAAATCCCTAGATCCTGCTCATTTGGCCTGGATGCTGAAAAAAATCCCCCTCCCCCAGCAATAATAGTTGTTAAGAAAAAAAAAATGCCTTCTTTCATGAATCCTTCGGGATTTCAAGCCTAACCAACTTCCCTTAGACTTCTTTCCCTTCCTTCCTTCCTTCCTTCCTTCCTTCCTTCCTTCCTTCCTTCCTTCCTTCCTTCCTTCCTTCCTTCCTTCCTTCCTTCCTTCCTTCCTTTTTTTTGGAGACCAGGCTTCACACAGCCAAGGCTAGCTTTGAACTCCAGAACCTCCTGCCTCTGCCTCCCAAATAGCGGGATCACAGGTATACACACATGGTAGGCTCTCAACAGCTTCTTTGAATGTCATTACTTTGGACAATATTCTGATGATCCAAGATTGAGTTCTCGCTCACTCTGTTTTTGAGACACAGTTTTGCTGTATCACCTAGGCTAGCCTTGAACCCATGCTCCCGTCTCACGTTGCCCAGGGCTGTGATTACAGGTGCAGGGCTGAATTCTAACAAGCAGCCAGTATTGCTTGCCTTTTGAGAAATACATTTTTAAGACATATTTTTCATTGGATTCTTTGCCATCGCAATATATTACTAAGGGGTTCTGATCTACAGACACATCCAGTGCTATCTGGTTTGTAATGATATATGTTCATAACCTGGAAACTGAGCCAATCATTTCACATTTGGGATAATATTGTTGGGAGGAATAGAAAAATGTTCACTATAGTATAAAAAGTAAAGGAAGTTTAGTTTTAGCCTTTCATGTGCAAAATGTACTACTACACAATAGCAAAGACATTCAGGGAATAGTAAAAATAAATAGCTTGCAAAATTCTCTGTTATACAAGAATAAGGGATGTTTAGGTAGTTGAACTTCCTAGCAATATTTATTTTCTAAAAAAAAAAATCTAGTTGTTTCATTTTGGCTTCTTTCCTCACTGCCCTTTGCGGGTGGGCCATCATTTCCTTGCATGCCACCCACTTGTGGGAATGCTTGTAGTCTTTCCAAGTCTTCCTTCCCTCTGCTTCACATAGATACCCTTTTCCCTAGGTCCTACCTGCATGCCCACAAAATGGGAATAGCTGGTCACACTGGCCATTGAGTGGACAGGATGGTCAAGCCTGCTATTGTGTTCTCACAGAGAGACCAGTGCAGCTGTAAAAGCTGTTAAACCCATTGGTAGTTCATGTGCTTGTGAGGAGATTGCGCTTTTTACAGGGCTGACTCCTCCATCAGAGACCTTTTTCACAAACTTGAAGATGTCAAGGGAAGAGCAAATCTCCTGCCCCACTGGCCCTGAACGGCATTATCTGCTCTTTTTTTTTTTTATCAGACAACATTCCCGTCATAAAGGACAACATGAAAACAATGTGCAAAAAATTGTCTGCCAAAGAGCTAAGTCACCAAAAGCACACAGATTGACATTCAAATTACGTTAATCAAATGACTGAGGAGGAATGGGTTGGCAAAGATATCTTGAAATAAGCAGTCGTTTCTGTTTATATTCCAAATTCTGCTTTACTTGTGTTATTAGCAGCTGTTGCTAGCCATTGGGTCTACACATACATTATGGCCTAATTTTGAAAATGAACTTTGTGTCTAGTCATAAAGCATAAATGCCTGAAATCTGAAGGTGTTTACTCCAATTTCAAAACAGAGTATCAACTCTTGCAATGGAACTAATCCTGACATTTTCGCGCACCCTATAGCTTCAGCAGCGACTGTGTGCTTGGGATTTTAGACTCAAGGTACATTACTAAATGCATGGGTTAATGTCGATGCACCTTGGAATTTCTGCCATCCCTAAACATGCATTTTCATGCAATTAAAAGATAACAGGCTTCTAAGTTTGCCGTTCATGTTCTTTCTGATTCTTGCGATTTCGACTTTTTAGAAGGGCTTCCAGAATAGTTCATGCAGTGATATGTATGGCTAAAAGAACAGCTATGCCTAGAAAGGGAACAAAGAACTTTAGTTCAGTTTGACATGAGGCAAACTGAGGGCATCTGTACTGTCTCCTGTCTTACAAATGTTCTGAGATGACCGTGACCTTCCAGTCCTTAAAGAGTCTGATGTAAAAGCAGCTTCCCCCGCAGGCTGCGGGGTGGCATCAAAAGTGTCTGTTTCTGCCTCCTCGGCACCCAGTTCTTCATCAGTTATAAACAATTTGGATTCTCTCCACTTGGGGTAAAAATCTTGGCTGCCTCTGGAGCCACTGGACTCACTGCCCGAAAATTGCAAGTTCAGTTCCTCTGTCGATCTGATCAGGTTTTGTACAGACAAAGATTTGCCCAAGTCTTTGGGCACCATGGGACGGACAGACAACAAAGTTTCTCCTCCCATGTCAAAACTTTTCCGCATGGAACGGTCCTTGGTCAGATTTGACTGTGCAAACTGAACGTTTTCCTTGGAGGCAACAAGGCAGGTGGTGACGTCGGAAATACTTTCTTGTAAGCCAGTGGGGTTCGGGTGCAGAGTCTCCGGCCTGGTCAGGTGCTTGATGGCTGGGAGAGGAGGTGGGATCTGTAAAGTTGTTGGGGCTGCTGGCTTGGGGGCTGCGCTTATTTGGTTTGCAATGTTATTGGTGGCCGCCAGGGAGGAGCCGTCATTTTGGCTCATTGGCACCTGTGTTGCTTGGCTGTGCATAGTAGGGCTAAGCGCGTAGAAAGTCTGAGCACTGAACTCATTTGGCGTTAAAATGAACTGCAGGCCTCTCGAGATGTTGGCACTGGCTGACCTCGTCAAGCAGCCACTGGTTTGGGCGGAACTGGACAGGTCTTTGCTATCCACCGGGCTCTGGTAGTCAGACGTCTGTTCACATTCAAAAGGCGGGATCTGGAAGGAGGCCAAAGTGAGGGCTGAGGCGGAGCCTTTGCGGAGGACCTGCTGGTAGATATCCAGCAGACAGTCCAACTTGGATTCAATGGACTGGACCTGCAAACGGGAAAAACAGTTACAAATGAGGACACTCTCTTAGGAAGAACTGACTTTACTCTTGGGATGTCAAAGGTGAAATAAGATTTTATTGACACAGTAAAAGAAATACTATGAAGGCCAAAGCAGTTCTGACTTGTTACAGAGTGTAACACTGGGGGCGACAGGGCCACAGAAGGAAGGGGAGAGAGGGTTAGAACTGCATTTGTGTGACCCTCTTTGGACTCCCCATGCTAGTCTTTAAAACCTTTTTTTTTTTTTTAAAAAAAAAATCAGATAAACACCATTGAAGTGCAGTTCAAGGTATTTTCAATCAGCGTGTTTTTCTTATTGGTTGATTTTCTTTCTAGATTGCCAGTGAATTTTAGAAGGAATATGTTCTATAATGAAATTAAGAAACTTAAGTATCAATCTAAGAAAGTTTAATTTTTTGAGGTATTTATTTTTTGTTTGTTTGTTTGACAGCCATGGCTGTCCTGAAACTTTGCTCTGTAGACCAGGTTGGACCTTGAATTCTGAGATGACCCTCCTCCCTCACACACTCACAGACACACACCTGAGTACTGGGAATAAAGGCACTGGCCACCAATAAAGGCTGGGCTGAGAATTTAAATTTAAAGTGAATATCGGGCATGGTTGTGCATACCCTTAATCTCATCACTTAGGAGGCAGAGGCAGGCAGATCTCTAAGAGTTCTGTAAGACTTTAAGACAGTCCTGAAGCCATTTTTGACAATTCTGAATCCTCTCAGCCTCTGTGCCATAGTGCTTCCCCCCTCCTCCCCTGGGAATCAAGGACCTAACAGCTACACTCGCATGTACTCAGTTCCTGAACAATTACCCATATATGTATGCTTTGGTTCGGCCCCCTGGGAAACGGGGTCAAAATGACCTTTTACCTCATCTGATCTGGCAACAGATCTCCAGTCAATTATTGGTAATAGCCCTTTCGAATAAGCCAATCAGAATAGTCAAAGAACAACCCCCCTTGCTTCTGTGGCCCCTTTAAAAGTAGACTGTACCCGCTATTCGAGGTCCCTCGGCTTCCCGAATGCTGGGGGACCCTGTCATGACAGAATTAATAAAATCCTCATGCTTTTGCATTGGCTATGGTGTATGAGATGGTCTCTGGGGGCGACTCCTTCTCGGTGTTTGGACGCTAGAGTCCAACAGTTCAAGTCCTGCCTGGTCTACACAGTGAGTTTCAGCCAGAGCTACATAGTGAGACCGCACTCCTCAACACCCCCCACAAATAAATTTAAAAAAAACCACATAAATAAATGTTTTCAAAGAATACTTAGAATGTTTACAATTTCATTGAGAATACTCTCTGAGAAGACCCAGCCTCGGGGTCAAAAATCACTGTTTGCCACAAGTACGATGAGGTTTTAAATCTCATTTTAAATGAAGGAAACTTAAAGAGACACAATGATAAATAGAGCTTTGCTATTTTACTATTGAAATTCTACAGTTGCTTCCGAATTAAGTATTAATGGACGAGATAAACATTTCTTATCCTTCAATGGAAATCCAAAAGTGTTTTAAAGACACTGTTTACACACAAGAAGTCATTAATTTCAACCACGCTCTGCTTCATTCCTTTGACATATACTGATCATCAGGATTAACTTTAGGAGGCCAGACAGAGTGAGGCACACCCTTATTCCCAGTACTTGGGAGGTGGAGGCTGACAGATTGCTGTGAGTTCAAGGACAGCCTGGTCTACCAAGCAAATTCCAGGGCTGCCAGAGCCTTGGAGAAAAGATTCTGTCTCAAAAACCAAACAAACAGGTGCCCCTTTAATCCCAGAACTCAAGAGGCAGAGTCTGGTGGACCTCTGTGAGTTCGAGGCTGGCCTGGTCTACAAGAGCTCATTCCAGGACAGCTAGGGCTGTTACACAGAGAAACCCTGTCTCAAAAACAAACAAACCAAGGCAGCAACCACAACAAAAACCAAAACCAACCAAACCAAAAGATTAACTTTAGGGGCTAGAGAAACAGCATAGGTTAAGGGCACTTATTCTCTCAGACGACCTGGGTTTGATTCCCAGCACCTACATGGTAGTTCAAAACCTTCTAGAACTCCAGTGCCAGATCTACAGCTTCTTCTGACCTCTTTGGGCACAAAACACAGACATACATGCCGGCAAATCATTCATACACATAAAATAAAATGTTAGAAGATTAACTTTAACACCTAAGTTGCACCCGTATACTTAGCCTTGAGGAACAAATCACAGCCGAAAGCTAACTTGTGCGGGTGAGCTATACCTGCTTTTCCACCTTGACAACCCGGCCGAGCATGCTGAGGTCATCCGTCGTCTCGTGTTCTGCCGTTATTTTCTCTCGGCTCTTCTTATCTGAGGTGATTTGCCCTTTTCCAAGAATTTGATCAACACTGCCAGACAAAGGAGATACCTGGTTATAGGCACTAATTGTACATACAGAGGACAGTGGGACAGTAGTGTTATCAACCTTCCTCATGGTGCAACCATTTAAGATAGTTCTTCATGTCGTGGGAATCCCTGACCATAAAATTATTTTCGTTACTACTTCATAACTCATTTTGCTGCCGTTATGAATTGTAATGTAAATACCCGATATTTCCAATGGTGTTAGGCGACCCCTGTGAAAGGGCCACTCGACCTTCAAAGGGATGGAGACCCACAGGTTGAGAGTCGCTGCACGAGGCAAAAGTGGAAGGCTCGAAAGAGGAAAGGCAAGTGTCCAGTTTGTAAAAGGTGAAGCAAGCTGACACGTGTGTCAGTTGATCCATTTATCTTTTTAGAAAAGAGTCAGTTGTATTATTTATTTATTCGTGTGTGTGTGTGTGTGTGTGTGTGTGTGTATGTATGTGTGTGTGTCCGCCACATGTGTGCAGGTACTTTTGGCAGTGTCAGATTCCCTGGAGCTGACAGAGAAGCAGTTGTGAACCACCTGATGTGGGTGCTGGGTTCTGAAGTCAGATCCTCTGGAAGAGCCTCCAGTCTCCTAACTGCTGAGTCCCCTTTCTCGCCTCTGATTATTTTCTTAACACAGGATTACGTATTTTTTAATCCCTCTGATCCTTGATGAAATCATTTATGATGGACCTGATAGAGGAAAAAAAATGAGCGAGCCAAATAACTTGTTTCTACCTTGGACCAGTCAGTTCTGAATTCAACCGTAAAAACCATGAAATCATAATTATGTTTATTTTACACTGATAGAAGAGATTCCATGAGGATTTGCTTTATACCTGTTAAGCAGGTGGGAAAGCTATGGTCGTTTGTAAAGTATTCCAAGGAGTGATATTGCTAGGCCATCATTAACATTTACCAAGTACAAGGTTCCAAGGTTCCTACATGTTACAAACTACACTTATGAGTCAATGGTCATGTCAACCCTACGCGGCACCCCTGACAGTCTCTCCATTTCTCAGAAGAGGGAACTGAGATATGTTGAGCTTGTCAATGTTTGATTTACACCCGAAAAGAAGAGTGAAAAGAATACAGTATCTGTGATAAAGCAACATCCCAGCTGCCTACCAAAAAATGAATCAGCAATACAGAATTGAGAGGCTTTGTTTATCGTGGGAAACCCCCCGACAGTTTTCACACCCTTTGCTTACCGCGTTTGAAGGCTTTTAATCCTACACAGCATGTCCAGATGACCGGCAGAATATTGTTCAATGACATCTTTGACATCATATGGGCGCAATGTTTCCTTAAACTTCCGTTTGGCCACGTGAAATTTCATAATTCTGTTTAAACACATATTAGATATGATTACTAACAACTTCATCAAAATAAATTACCAATATGTTTACCAAAAAATAGCAAGAAATTCATAGTGGTACAGACCTGTAGTCTCACTTATATTAGTTGCTAAAGCAGGAGGATCACAAGTTCAAGACTTGCCTGGGGAACATGGCCAGCTTGGGAAACTTATTGATGTCCTATTTCAGAACAAAGAAGGCCAAAGCAGGGCCGGGCATACAGCTTAGTGGTAGGAGACTTGTTTAGCATGTGCAAAGCCCTACCCTAAATTTAATCCCCAATATTGAAATATATGTACATATATAAAACTTGGGGAAGCAAAAATCATGTATCAATATTTTATGCTTCTACAGTAATGCAATATAAAAGACACATTAAATAGGGCATTATTAAGAACATTTCTTATGAGACACACCTTCAGCGTAGCAACCCACGATAAAAAAAAACCAAACTAAACATTATGTGCTATTTCTTTTTAATATCTATGGAAATCTCCAGCTAAAACCACAGTCAAATGCAATTCTATGTGATCTGAGACATCCAAGATACCACAACATCTTGGATTATATCTCTTAAAAAATAGGGCAAACTGGGGAGATGGTTTTATTTGGGAAAGCGTTTGCTGTACAAGCATGAAAATCTGAGCTCGGACGCCTGGCGTCCATGTAGAAAGCTGGCTGTGGTGGCATACACCTGTAATCTCAGTGCTGGGAAGGTGGAGACAGGAGGATTTCTGCAGTTACTGACCAGTCAGCATAGCCAAATTGGTGAGCTTCAGGATTGTTTTTTTAATCTCAAAAAATAAGGTGGAATTTGAGGAAAACACTTGATATTGACCTCTGAACTCCACAGGCACATGTGTATTCACACACACATACATAAACACACAGACACAGATGTGTGCACGTGTGTGCGTGCGCACATACACACACACATACAGACAAACATACATCACTCTTAAGCACCCTCCCCCCAAAAATAGTGCTCTTTTATGTATTTACATCTTCCTCCCTCCCATCCCTCCGTCTCTCCGTCCCTTCCTGCTTCCTTCCTTCCTTTTCTGGATATATATATGTATATACATATGCTATAGCACCTGTGTGGAGTCAGAGGAAAACCTGCAGAAGTCCATTTTCTCTTTCTACCATATAAGTCTCAGGGAGCAGATTCAGGTTATCAGGCTTGATTGCAAACATCTTTGCCTGCTAATTGTATGTGTCTTTGAGATGCAAATCTCAAATGCACACTAGCTTTGAAATTTGTGGAGCATTTCATAAGCTATTTTTGAATTACAGTGTTGGGTTCACTAGCCAATTTTCTTTTAAGGACAATTATCCGTGGAACTTGGATATGAACCTTTCTGAGGAATAAGAGATCCCGCATTATAATGCCTCCCTTAGCATGAGCCCCAGATTTTAAAACAATAGTTCTTCAGCCACTCTGGTGACGGCAGCAGTAGCTCATCTGTCGTGGTAATCAGTTACTGCAACAGTGCCATAAAAGCGCCTGCTAGAAGCAAGGGAGTGTGACATTTTAATTAATCTGTGCAGCCTCATTGCTGGTAAATGTGAAACCTGTTGGTGTTTTTCAACCATTAAATAGTTCACTGATTCCTATTATCACAGTCATGGATTCTAGTGAGGGAACTGGTCTCGGTTCTAAAACCTAAGAGGTATATAGTCCCTCGGCTAAAAGTGGAAAGATGGGGGTTTTAAAAGAAAATATCCATTACCTACCTGAAGTGACAGGTTATTTCACTGAGTTTAAATTGCTTAGCATTTCAAAAAGCCTAAACCCTATCTTCTCGTTGTATCATTAACCTCAAATTAATTATGACCCAATTGCTGTTGAGTCTCTCACCCCCAGCTCCCCAGATCTTTTCACCAGTTTCTCACTAATGTCTTTATTCAGAAAAGAGACTTTGTGTTTGTTTCTCCTTCCTCTTCTTTTTTTTTAATTAATTAATTTATTTATTTATTAAAGATTTCTGTCTCTTCCCCCTAGCCGCCTCCCCTTTCCCTCCCCCTCCCCAAATCAAGTCCCCCTCCCTCGTCAGTCCAAAGAGCAATCAGGGTTCTCTGCCCTGTGGGAAGTCCGAGGACTACCCACCTCCATCCAGG